CCGGCACCAGGGCAGGGCAGCACGGGCAGCTGGAGAGTCCTGAGCCCCAGCCCACAAGGGGCCGTCTCGGAGCAGAGCTGCTGCCCCAGGAGCCCAGCTGGCCTGAGGCTCGGCCCTCGAACAGGCTGTCTCAGCTGCCCCCTCCATGCTGCCCTGGATGGCAGCTCCCCCTCTGCCCCTGGCCTGACAAGCCCTGTCCCCCCAGGCCGCAGGAGTTCCTGTGGGAGAAGGAGGGCAGCGACACCCCCCTGCAGATGAACTCGGAGAGCGTCCTCGTGTTTCCGTTCCTCAACAAGAGCGACAGCGGCACCTACGTCTGCACGGCCACCAGCTCCATGGGCAGTGTCATAGCTAAGTACAACCTGGACGTGAACGGTAAGCCCTGGGCCCTGCCAGCACAGCCAGAGCCTGCTGCCAGCTGCCCCCAGGTGGGCACCGCTTCCCGGCACCGTGCCGGTTACATGGGGCCTCGGCCACCCCCGCACCTGCCATGCCTGTGCATGAGGAGCCGCGACACGTGTGTGATCCACCTCCTGGAGAAGTGGCTCCATGTGGATTGTGTGACCCCCCCCTCCCTCCACGTGTGCCAGCAGGCAGTGTGGCTAGGGGCTGCTCTAGGCATCCAGGCCTTGCAGGGAGCAGGATCCTCCCCAGGGGCAGCACAACACCAAGGTCTTGTCCAGGCTGGTTTTCCAAGGTCCCTACATGTGGCTCTGCCTCCCTGCCAGAGGTTCCTTCCCCAGCAGGAGCACTGATGCACTCCCTTCCTTGCTGTCCGTAAGCCGGGGGCACATGCAGGCTGACCCCCACACCTGCCCCTCCCTGGGAAAGGCATCCACCAGCCCGGCTGGGCAGGTTTGTTCTGGGAGGGTCAGATGATCCATGGAGCTCGGCTCCCAGAGGGAACAGAGCAGAACAGAGCACCCTTCCCCACAGAGATGCCTGAGCACTTGGAGAAGGCATCCTCAGCTCCTCCTAGCTCCTGAGGATTTCAGCTGCTCTTTAAGATCTCTTCACTTGGCCCCTTGGTTCTGGGGCCTGACTGCAAAGAGGGGCCAAGGCTCTGCGGGGGCCGAGGCCTGCGCCCACTGCAGCCCAGTGCTGCCCCATCCTGGACTCTTCCTGTAGCTGTCAGAGCTCCTGCAGTTCTCCAGTGCCGTACGTGCCGCCTTTGCCAAGCTGCTCTGCCGCTGCTCCTGCCTGCATTTAATTAGTTAATGTGTTTTGCCCAGGGAGCAGGGCTATGTATTATTCAGGGCTATTATTATGAGCTCTCTAATCTCTTGCTGCGGTGGGATTATTTCTCAGTCCATGCCGATGTTTGCAGCTCCTCCCAGTCTCGGGATTTTTTGTCGATCTGGGGGCTGCACTGCCCCTCACAGGTCAACAGGGACATGTCCGCGTGAGCGCTTCAGTCCTGGCAGCTCGGACTGCAGTACCCAGGCTGCTGGGCTCTTTGGGAACCTGGCCCCAGTTCTAGGTGCTGACCAAACGCTTCTGGAAATCTGCCGTTTCTAAAAGCCTCCTGTCCATCCACACTTCCATCCATCCATCTGTCCATCCATCTGTCCAGCAGTGCCAGCATGCCCCTCCCCGCATTGCTGACACTGTTCTTTCCTGCTGCGGGAGAGGGTTGGTTTGGTTTGTCTTCTTAAGTGCGTCAGTCAGCTTTCAGCCGTGTCCGGTGTCCACGCCAGCAGTCTGGGGGAGCAGACAAGTCCGGGCTCCCTGTGGCAGGGAGCTGGGCCCCAGAGGCCTCATGCCTCCAGGGCTATCTCCCGGCTGCTGCCCTGGCTGTAATTCTAGATGGAAAAGTGAAGCCATGTCCGTCTCTATCCCTGTGTTGTCTGTCCTCTCAACCCCATGCTGCTTCTGGCTCCAAGTGCAGATTGGTGGCTTTCTCCTTGCTGCCCCATCCTGCGCGTGGAGCTGGGCTAGAGCTACCACACTAACCTCCTGGATACCCCCAAGCCTGGCGGGAACTTGGCAGGGTGCTTTCCTGCCATGCCTGGAAGCTGACCTCTCCCTGACGGTCCTGTGCTGTGCTGCAGTGGGGCTGGGACTCCCCTGTCTGATGTGCAGTGTACTTGTTGTACCTCTCAGCATCCCGGGCAGTGAGCTCCCTCCCACCCTCACCCGCCCCACTCACCTCACTATATAGAGGTCTCTGGCAGGTGCTCAGTGCCCCAGGCTGTGCAGTCTCTGCTTCCCCTTAGTCCTCTGCTTCCCTGGGTTTGCTGTGATGCTCTGATCACTCGCAGCATTCGTGCCTCCCCTCTTCTCCCAAGAAGCCTGTCTGGAGACTGGCTGCTGTTGCTAGCAGGCAGCTTGTCTCTCCTGGCACTTGCAGTGCAAGTGTCCTGCCACAGGCCATTGCACATTCACCCCAGGATTGCACAGCTGAGCCCTCCCTCTCCTTCTGGCAGCTCTACATACTCCTCCCCCACTGCCACTGTTCACTCTTCCAGCATCCATCCCACACCAGCCTGCCCAGTGCTCCCTTGCCCTGCTGGGCACGAGCCCCTGCCTCCCTCCTGTAGGCCCAGCACTGCCCCATATCTCAGCTCAGCCCAGTCCATGCTGCACTCACCCCAGGAAGGCTCCTTTGGACAGTGTTTGGGTCTTTGTCTTCCTGAGTGTCTGGGGCTGAGTCTGGGGCCGAGTGGGGGCTGACTGCCCACATTATCTCTCAGTATTGCTCAGGGTGCACCCTGCTTCCAGCTCAGATCAACACTGGCCCTGGTTTGAGCCCAGCGGTGCTGGATCAGGGCTTGTCCTGGGCTCAGCCCCGGGGCTCCCTCATCACCATGGGTCAATGCTGGCATGCCGTGCCTCACTGCCAGCAGGCTGGGGCTGGGAGAGCTCTTGTGCCTGCTGTAAGCTCTGCCCAGCACCCAAAGCATCCAGAGAAGTGGACACCAGCACCCAGCCAACCTGGAGGGGTCTCTCAGCTAGCCTTCACACCCCTCCATGGGCTCCTCTTCTCATCCAGAAAGGTCTTGCTCCCCTGCTCTCCATGCCCTGCCATGCAACCTTCACCAGCCTTGCCTGGAAATGCTCACTCTGTCTGTGGACAGCTCTGGCCCAGGTGAGGCGCAGCCCCAGGAGCTCTGGAGAGCACTGTTGGGCATACGAGGGGGAGCAGAAATGAAGTCCGGCCAGAGGCAGGGCCACGGCCAGTAGGCAGGGAGCCCTGGCTGGGGAGTACAGGGGACGAGCACTCCTGGCGACAGTGCAGAGGCCCCGGCAGATGCCCCTGGCACAGCACAGCATCAAGAAGGGCCAACAGCAGTGGCCTTATTTCCCTTTCAACCCCCTCTCATTGCCCCCACAGACACTCAGATGCTCCCTCACCCGGACCTTTGCAGTGCCTCCCCAGGGGTGTTCCTGAACACACAGTCTAGACTGCTCTGGGCACAGGGCAGGGACAGAGAGGAGGGGCAGGGCAAAACGGAGCCTAGGAAATGCAATCTGTGGCAGCCCAAGGCAGGTTGAGAGCAGCTGCAACCCGTGACATGTGGGCTCCCCAGGCACTGCTGCCTCAAGGTTCACAGCCCCAGTCCAGAGCCCCTTAGCTCTCGTGGCTGCAGCTCCCCAATGGTGAGGGGCTGTGAGCCCCCCCTAGTATCCCAGTGCAGCAGGGGATAGGCAGGCGCGGGCCGGGAGGGGATGCAGGCAGGCTATGCAGGGCTGGGTGGGGAGCGTTGAGGCAGGGGCCAGCGAGGGCATGGGTGGGCTGCTTGCAGCGGGGTCTCCAGGGGCTGCACAGCGGCTGCTGCCAGGGAGCAGTTGAGCATTTGGCTCTGGCAGAGGAAGGGCAGCAGGAGCAGAGGAAGAGGCATCTCTGTAGGAACTCGTGTGGCCCGCGGAGAAGCAGTGAGGAGGAGACCTCCTGCCCAGCCCGAGAAGTCGAGAGGCAGTGAGATGGGAGCAGCAGGCCTGGGAGGAAGGAGCATGGGGTGCCCGCCCCGAATGACCATGGGCTCCTCTGCACCACAGTGGATACTGTAGCCAGGGCGCGTGGGGCTTGCTGCTGCCCCAACACTGTGCCGAGCCCAGAGCCGGGGAGCAGGGGTGTCACAGGCCAGGACTGGGAGCATGGGCTCAGGGGCGTCGCACTCCCCGCCAGTGCCCAGGCTTGACTCATCTCCCTCTTTTTCTGTTGTCCTCCCCAGATCTGTCCCAGCTCCCCACCCCACACATTCACTCCACTCCAGCCCCTCCGCCAGGCCCTTCCCAGCCCATCACTCATCTTTCCATGACCACCGCTTCATCCTTCACTCCAGCCGCTGTCCAAGGTACTGTAAGCTCCTTTTCTTTTCTTTACGGACCCTGGGAGCTCTGCACAGGTAGCAGGAGGATGGCCGGCTGGTCCCCAGGCTGGGCTCTGAGTCCCGCAGCCCACTCGAGGGCATCTTCCTAGCCTTGGCTTCCTCGTTGGCGTGTCCAGTCTCTGCAGCCCTGTCTCCCGCTCAGAGCCCGCCTGGCTGGGCTGTGCAGGATCGCTGTAGCTGAAGAGACCACATCCTCTCCAGCGGCCAATGCCATCTCCTGGTGCTCCAGGAACAGACCATTGGTCCCGCCAGCCCAGGCCCTCCTTTGCCCAGCCACCACTGACCCCTAATGCCAGCGACCATGGCCAGGCACTGCCGAGGTCACGGACCCCAGCAGCGGCTTCCCCTGCAGCCCCGTGCCGCGAGGGGACATTCTTCCCGGCTCCAGCTGGGAACCACCTTTCTCGCCCCCAAATCCTGAGCCGTGGTGCCCAACAAGCACCATGGCAGGGGCTCCTGCTGCCCGTATCTGTGTCTGAGCTATGTGCTAACATGACTAAACTCTGTGCCATGATGCTGCTTTGTGCTGACTGTCTGCTGCAAAGTGCTTGTGTCTGTGAAGTGTTGCCTTTCTTTCGAATGCCCCTTCTTGTGTGAAGGGGCAGGGTACCTTGGAGTCCACCTGGCTCCCTTCCCCCATCCTTGTTTATCACCCTCTGCCGTCCCTTCTGTCACTCTTCTTTCCACCCTCTCCCTGTATGAGCTCCCGCTCCCTCTCTGAGCACTTCACTTCTGTGATCGTTCCCATGGCTGAGCCAGCCTACCATGTGCAGGACTAAAGCAGGGGCAGTACAGCCTGCTCCCAAGTGCAGCTGGGAGACACTGTTTTCCTTGGCCTGGATGCAGGACACTTCTCTTCTGAGCAGTTGCAAGGCCCCACACCCTCCAGCCCAGATGCCTTTTCCCTGGTGAATGTGAGGCAACGCTTTCCTGGCACAGACATGATACACCACTGTCCCACAGTACAGCACAGGACTCTTCGCTCCAGCATAGAAGTGAGGCCCCGTCCCCGCAGCATGGGTGCTGCAGTGCACAGGGGGAGGCTGGGGTGGCAGTAGCCTTGGTCCAGGCTGAGATGTGGTGGCCAGGGCCAGGAGGTGCTGTCTTGTGCCTGGGGCAAGAGGTACGATGTGCTTAGGGGTTTTGACATGCCTCAAAGCATGTCCCTAGGCCAGGCAGGATGTCCCCAGCATGGACCAACCTGTGAGGTCGGAGTGACTGTGGGCAAGCACAGATGTGTGGAGCTGCCTGCACAGCTCTGCTGATGCCCCAGGACAGCTGGACGCTGTCACTGAGGCTCTGCAAGGTGAGGGAGGGGGCTGGGATGGCAGAGGAGACTGCCGAGCAGCCCTGGGCCATGCTGGAATGGGGGTCACCTGCATTGATTGGGGGGGATCGGGAGGAGGGGGCCAGGGCCGGAGTGCAGGGGCTGCAGGGCATGGGCCCTGATGGCTGAGCCATGCACAGTGGCAAGGAGCTCCTAGCCAGCATGGCTCATCTCTCACCTTCATGAGCACTGCATGCTCTTCCCACTGCTGCAGCAGCCCCAGCTCTGGTGGAGGTATCACTGCTGTGCCAGGGCTCATCCTTGAGCTCCCCGTCCCAACCGGTACCTGACTGTGCTCCTCTTAGAGCCTCCCTGGACTCTCTGTGGCTTCCTCCTCTGGCCCCCTGCCCCTGGCTCCCTCCTCTGTCTCTGGCCTCCCTGCCCAGAGGCCAGTGCCTTCTCGGCAGCTCTTCTCACTGCCCATGTGGCACCTGCCCCAGCTGCCTCTTCTCTCCCTCTGGCTCTCTGCTTCTCTCCCTCCATTTCCAGCCTGGGGGCTGTCCCCGGTCTGAAGGCCTCTGCACAGGGAGCTGTGCTGACCTGGTGTAGGCACCGGAGGGGCAGCCAGCAGGATGGGCACTGCCAGGCTAAGGCCCCTGCTCCAGCCTAGAGCACTTTTCTGCCAAGATGCAGAAGGCCTGTAAACACTTTTCTCTCTCACGCTTTCTCCCTCCCTCTGTCTCTCTCCTGCCCTCTCTCTCTGTCTTTCTCTCCTCCCCTCCCCAATCCGTGGCCAGATGCCAGCCCGGTGCCTTCCAGCCCCGGCACGTACCATGCCGTGATTGGCGGAGTGGTCGCAGTCATTGTCTTTCTGCTGCTCATCCTGCTCATCTTCCTGGGACACTACCTAATCAGGCACAAAGGTAAGGCCTGAGCAGCTCCTGCCCACCTGCTGCTCAGCTCCCGGGCTCCTGCCCCCAGATGGGGAGAGACCCACCAGCAGGCCAGGGCAAAGGGCAGCAGGCAGGATAAAAGCACCGCCCCAAGGATCAGCAGCCCAACTCCATGCCAGGCTGCGTGGGGTCCCGTGGGCAGGCAGCTTGAGCAAGTGCCCCCAGGCCCTGCAGCAGCCAGTGCAGTGGGCAGAGAGATTCCTCCCCTGGATCCTTGTCTATCACTGCCTTGCACATCTCTTCCCCCTCGGGCCAGTGCCCTCCAGCCTCTGTTCTGCTATTCACTACCATGTTCACCCCCTAACCATGCAGCTCTCCCTCCACCCAGCACTCTCCCATGCCCTCGTCCTCCTCTCACTGACCAAGTGCCAAGAGGTCTCCTTGGGCACATATCTTCTGCCAACACCCTCCCTCCATCACCTGCCCTTTGTCACTGCCTGCCCTAAGCCTGTCCCCTGCCCAGCAGACAGGTGTAGCACACGTGAGGCATCAGGAGAGTGCCCAGGCTGGCTCCACAGGTGATGTGTAAGTCAGCAGCCCAGGTTCCTTCGGGATCATGGGTGACCACTCGCCTGGGGCAAGGGTGCCAGGGTTAGCACCACTCACACGGAGGAGCCGGGAGATGCAGGCAGGCGGGCGAAGGTCAGCTGGGGTGGGGGAACAACGGTCCTGTGCCAGCCCAGCTGGTCCCTGGTTTGGCTTGTGCTGCTGCTGCTGCAGCGCTCCCAGACCCAGGCAGGCAGCCAGCAAGCCCAGCTGGGCAGAGGCCATGGGCCCATGGGGGCAGTTTGCCTAACTGCAGAAGGGCAGCTCCCAGGCAAGGCAGCCCATTCCCATTCTGCCCTCACAAGGGCCCTTGGAGGTTGCATCCCATAGATGGTGCTGGCTTTTCCCTGTTTGTCTCGCCCCAGGCAGGATATTTTCCCCAGCCCTCCACAGCTTTGGCAGGGTGGAGGCTGCACTTTCCTCCAGCGCTAGCTGGGCTCTTCGGCCCAGGCACTGCCCAGCCCCGCAGGCACTGTCCCCCCAGCAGCACGGCCAGGGGGAGTCTGCAGAGCTCCCGTAGGCACAGACACCTGGAGGCATCCCATGACAAGTGCTCTTTCCCACCCAGGAACTTATCTGACGCACGAGGCCAAGGGCTCAGATGATGCCCCGGATGCAGACACTGCCATCATCAATGCGGAGGGCGGGCAGGCTAGCAGCGACGACAAAAAAGAATACTTCATCTAGGGGTGCCGGGAGGAGACAGGAGAAATGGAGCCAACCAACCTGGATGGAAACGGAAACCAGACCACAAACCCAACTCAACCCAACAGATTTTCTCTCGCGCCCGGGACGGACGGACGGACAGAGGGATGGCGGGACAGAGACCAGAGAGTGACCGGCCTGACTCATGATGATTCTTCTTGAACTTGTACAAAACATTGTTACTAAGAACAGCGACAGCCCCGGCCCCGTTCGCTTGCTTGTACCTCCACCCCCGCGACTGACGCTCGCACTAAACACCCGATGAACCCGTGAGTGAGCGGCACTTTCCTTCTTCCTTTGGCCCCTTTGCTTTGGTTCGGTGGATGCTCTTTGCTTTGCCTCCTTGGCTTGGATGGTGGGTGGGGACGTAGTGCTTTCCTTTGCTTCTCTCCGTGTTGGTTCCTTTGACATCCAAGGATAAAGTTGGCCTGGCGGGTGGCCTGCTGGAGGTGTCCTGGCCAGCACAGGGCCGTTCTGTTGCTAACACAATGCTTTTGCCTGGCACCTCCCCCCAAGAACCGGGGCCACGATTCCAATTTATTCCCCAACCTCGGCTTTTGCATGATGTCCTGAGCCAACCCCGTGGGAAAGAGCCTAGGCTGGGCATAGGGGTGACATGGGGCCTTTCCATGCCCCACAACAGAGACAACCCAGCCCAGCCCTTCCCCCCAGGGGACTGAGCAGAGTGCCCAGCTCCTTCCCAGAGGGAGGGGCAGTACCTTTGCCTCGCAAATCCAGCCTCTTGGAGCGGGCCCATGACAGGGCTGTGCTGATTTTATCCTTGGAGAGTCTTGTTGAGCGGTGCTCGTGGGGGGGAGATGTGTCCTTGTGTGATGTTGTGTGAAGGGGCGCCAGCTGCCAGGTGGGCGCCAGGACCCGCTCACGCCAGAGGGCCTGCAGCTCGCATGTGCCACTTGCCGGGGGGGGGGGG